TTTCGTCTTTCTGGAATGAGCCCGGAGGTACGTTCCAAATATGATTGCAACTCCCCTATTACTTGTGATATATCTGCCAATAGCTCATTAACGAGTGCTATATTCGCGTCCGCGCTATCTAAGTAAATGATATCCCTTCTGGCTAGGGTTTTCTTTGCGATTAAGTTAGAAATGCGCTGTAAAGTAGAAAGCTCCTCGTCTCTCTCTTGTTGGTATTCTTCCATAAGCTTGGCCATTGGTGAGCTTGCATATCCTCCTTCACCGCCTGGACGGAACAGTTGAGTCATACTAGTTTCTGTCGCCGACATGTCTTCTACTTCCTGTGACGGCGTATTCCTCGAAGATAATGTCGTTACTGAAGGAGGTGATATGGGACTAGGGTTGTTTTTAGAGTTGGATGGAATAGAGGGACTGGATGACTGTAGATGAGTTTGTGGAGAGTCGGGGAATTGAGTAGGAGGGGAAGTCAGAATTTCTCCGGTTGCTGTGATGTCCATAGTAGGAGTAACGGGAGTAGGGGATTTGAAATCGAATGCTAACGACGATTCGATAATGGAGTCGGCTAGACGAGGTTGAAAGGTAGTCTTAATGGGGTTTCTAGCTGGTTGGAATAGGTGATGTCTGAAGGTGACGTTTCTTCCTGAGGTAGAAGCTCCTTTGTTTTGCTTATCCGATGTCTGAAAGCGACTAGTATAGTCGGCTCGTAAAGCGGGTTTGAGAGTTGAAGGAGTAACAGAAGGAAGTCAAGTGCTGGCAGGTAATCCCGGTGATTTAGTACTGCCGATGGTAGAAGATTGTTTCATTGGCGAGACAGATCTAGATGATCTTTGGAAAGGTAAGCTGAGAGAAGAAGGGGGAGCTCCTCGCCTTGATCGTGATGCTCCCGATCTATTCGATCTCTCTCTATCGTCCTCTCCAAGGTCCAAGTCTGCTGTTACGCCGGCCAGGTTGCTGTTGGTTCCCACAGTGTCCACCTTTGCGCAACCCTGTTCTAAGGGGATTTAGTCGCTGAGTGGGATTCTTACCAACGGCGAGTAAGTCTGGCGAACGTTGAATGTAAGGGTTGAGTAATGGTGTGATGACCCTAAATGCAGGCCTGAATCTAGAGAGAAAGAAGAAGCCTGATCACGCAAGAGTCCGCTTATGCCCTGGATAACCACGAGCGCGAATGTCTCAACCTTCTCGGAAAGCCGCAGAAGGGAGTGAACAAGTCCCTTCGGAGAAATGGGAAAATACAAGAAAGCTTTGTTAGCTTTCACAGGAGACACAAGCTCCTAAAGTTAGTTCTATAGGAACTGACCTTGATCTCTTCGAACGCGAATCTTCAACAGGCTTGAGGTGAGTCATGAGTACGATGCTCGTGCAACGAGATAGGAAAAGAATATGGTGTAAGAAGAAGTAATGTTCTTTTCTGTTTACAAGGTAGTTATACTAAATGTGACTAAACATGACTAAGCGTGATTGCATGACTCTGAAGATTGTAGAAGAGGAATTGCGCTAGAGAAGGATACAAACATCGTTGAATAGGAAATATAACGAGAGAGGGGAATGCCTTAGTATTGACCCCTCACACCTATGGAAGTTGACTCAGACTCCGATGACTACGATGACGATGAGGATCTGGATTTTGTATATTGTAAGTTGATCTTATGTTGAGTTAGCCAGTTATTTGACCACTCATCACATACATAGATGATCATCTTGGCGATTTTTTCAAGAAACTTGACATGTCTCAGATCACTTTGGCTTTCAGAGACTTTTCGTTCAGCAAAAACAAGGTCTCTGACAGTTCAATGGTTTTGGGACAAAGTGGATTGACTTCATTGGGCAATTCTTTAACGACAATACGTGAATGCCCCACCTCTATGGACACAGCGCTCGCCATTCCACAGATGTGGCACAACATCATCAACACAACTGCAGATATCGAAAGAAGACATCTTGAATCCTGCATATTACGAGCATGCATAATGTGGGCTGCACTTAGTCTGAACATGTGGGTGGAGAATACAATTGATAGGGTGCAATCAGGCAAAGCCAATAAGTCATGGGTCAATAAACTGGTGTCCCAGATTGATAATGCGCTCAATTCGAAAGCTCCTGTGGGAACAGAGATCATATTGAGATCAGAAGACTTTCTTGCCCAGCTTCCACCTACTACGTATAAATGGTCCAAACCCCGCTTTACCTATGACACAAAAACAGTCAAAGAGAGAATCAAATGTATTGCTCATGATAGTATTTGAGCATGGCTAAGCTTTCCAAATGATAGGAAGACTGCGATGCAGTGCACATTTCTGCATACTCTTGTATCTCGCACACATATATCAGTGCTTCTTCTTGACATGGTGTGGGTCACATATCGCTATCCATTCAAAGTTGTTCTTAACTCATGTGCTGGATGGCATGTATCTCGTGAATGTATGGATGAGTTTAAGAATCAATACTATATCCACCCTTTTGTTAACATGCAAACAGAGGAATACCAGGCATTGGGCAGACTGAATGAGGAGTTTATGGGAGTATTCACAAGTATGTGAATGGGATTAGCAGTTGAGTCTCAACAAAATGTCAGTACTTCACTTCACTTTATTTTTGATATTCAAATGTTTACAAATGTTCAGCAGACTTCCCATGGAGGGATTGATGAAGATCATCAAGATGAAACAACCATGCCGCTGCTTACATCTTCAGAAGCACGCAGAAAGAAGATGAAAGTGTTCCTTGACTACTTACACCATTTGATGCCACTCATAAAAAATGGCTTTACCTCCTACCTCAATTCCAGCGATCCCATCCTGAAACGTGTTGCTAAATCACCCGATTACGAGTCCTCTGAGTTTACGAAGAGACTTGTTTATTACCCTTGATCTCAAGGAATTTTTCAGCGTTCTAACGCTGAACTTTGCCTTTTTCCCACGAAAATTGATGGTTTCTCACATTCAGGGATTCAGGGGATTCAGGGTCTCTAGCCTTTTGTAGTCATCCACGTTCAGGGTTTCAGGGTTTCAGGCACTCTAGCTTTGTATGCTTCTGTCATCATTTGTGTAGTTGATGGTATATAGTACAAGGTTTTATTGACCATGTGATCTGTCCAGTGATGGCACGGATTGTCACTCAACATGGTCACAACCAGTTAATGAGAGTTCATCTATCTGCCAAACACTATTGTTCACCAGTTCTATTGCATCATTTTGTCCATAGTTGTCACAGTATATATAGCTATATGGACTAGTGCATGTGGCAGCAGTTATTTATAGTTTTGTATAAGTGGTATCCAGTAAGTTGCAGCTTTTCTTTTGAATACACTTATAGATGCTTTTCTCCTTTTCAGGGCCAATTATGTAATGCATACTACTACAATGTATGTAATTAAATTTCTTGCAGTTGTATATTATTTTTGCATTTTATCTTATGTAATTTGGATCAGATATGACAGAGTTGCAGTATTTTCTTTCAGAATTGCAGATATAACCTGGGAAATGACATGCCAATTATGTAATACATAGTGCACAATTTTACATAATCGAATTGCGCGGAATTTTACCTTTTTTCTGGATTTTATTTTATGTAATTCGGATTAGATTTGACAGAGTTACAGTATTTTCTTGCAAAATTACTAATATAAGCTGCATGCAAAAGCAGAAGGGTTAGCCAAATGATGCCAAATTATGACGTGTGCCAAGGATCGTCTGAACCTGCGCTGGGGTTCAGACGATCCTTGGCGCACGCCATCGCTTAGTCATCATTTTTAGCGAAAATGAAGATTTGTTGTAGCTCTGCCAAAGTGTGGCAAAGTTCTTTGCATCTGTTTTGAATGACTTGCTTTCAAACAAATGCAATCAAAACTACCGCACGCGCGGTAATTTTGTTTGTTCAAGTTGAGAAACTTCTGGATGGGCAACAACACCAAATTAGTCATCATTTTTAGCGAAAATGAAGATTTGTATGTAGCTCTGCCAAATCTGGTCCAAATGACATGGTTTTTTTTGCAGTATGCACTGCTTAATTGTAGAATCATTGTGAAATGAGGATAAATGTAGGTAAATACAAATAAATAGTCTGAAACCAAAGTTTGTAGTATATCTGTAAGCTTTGGTATGCATATTGAAGTTGAACTCATGTGATATCTAAAACTTGTGTATGAGGCCATTGCAAGCATGGCAGGAATGAGTCCTATTTTGCAAGAGTGATAGTAACCCATTTCTGGATTTCTAGCTATATTTTATTACAAACTAGTATATCTTTCTATTTGATTGTCATCTTGGGCTTTAAGCAGAGTACCTCAGTATCGTCAATGAGCAATATTTCTTATTTGGAAGTCCATTTAGACCCTGAAACTGTTACTCAACATCATCACTAATTATCAGCACCATCCTTAATTTTCTCTGATTTTTCTGCCATTTTATGACTATTTTAGACTATTTATTTGCATTTACTTACATTTATCCTTATTTCAGCATGATCCTGTATATAAACAGTGCATTGTGGAAGAGAAACTGTGTCATTTGGACCAGAAGTGGCAGAGCTATGTAGAAATGTTCATTTCCACCAAAATGTGTTACTAATCATTCAACATGTGCAAACAATTTCACTGGTAAAACTGTTTGTCTTTGTTTTAAACTATGTGATATTATGTGGATTCAACTTCAGTACACAGAAACCAATGTTTGCAAAACTACAGATGTCATTTCAAACTATTTATTTATATTTACTTACATTTATCCTCATTTTAGAATGATTCTGCATATATAGAGTGCATTCTGCAAAAGAAACTGTGTCATTTGGACCAGAAGTGGCAGAGCTAGGTAGAAATCCTTGTTTCCACCAGAATGGATTACTAAGCATTCAATATGTGCAGACAATTTCACCACACACATGGTAAAACTGTT